TATAGCATAGAACACAATTCGTCGACTAGTAAAAGCTAGTAGTTTTAAAATCTTACAGGCTAATTATTTGAAAACAATGATGTTTTGGTGTGTTGGAATTCGTTAAAATCATTGCTATGACCTGTTGAGGTCACTGCAACAACGACCTTTTTTATGCTTATTCGTATTTCTGTTACCATGATATGGCAATGTTACGTTATTAACACATGTTCTTGTTGGTTGCTTCGTCTCGTATAATCTTACATATATAAAGGTATTTAATTATTTCATTGTGTGTGAGTGCCGCATATAAGTACTCTTTCTAAACCCCGTCTCCATTTTCATACGCGTGCAGCTATTTTTACTTAAATGTCAGCGTGTACCAGTTTCTCGAATCATCTAACCATGTTAAATCCACTCTCCTATCAATAGTATCTCCTATTTTTCTTAGTTCAGATATCAGCTTTATACAATTCACTAAAGGATATTATTTCATACGTCAAATAAATAACCTTTATTTGAACATTCAATTTTCAAAGTAACAATTAATTTATTGGATTTTGTTTAAATCATGAAATGATCCAAGTTGGATAATTAATGAAAACCTGAAGACATTGAATAACCGTTTTGTCTTAGTATGGGATTCCCCAGAAGTGTGCATCCTTGACCCTGAGACCTGAACTTGAACCCAGATCCTTCAGTTTCACGTGCGAAAATTGAATCTATAAACCACTGAGATAAGATTCAATGGTTTGTGAGTCTAACTTAAATCAATACGAAACCTGTGCAGCCATCATCCATTGTCTTCGGTGAGTAACTGCATTACACCCGATATGTATTAGTTACACTGGTTTACGGTTGTCGAAGTTGGAAATGTTTGTAATTTTAATGAAATTTGACAAACTCTACAACCTTATTCTGATAATCCTTTGGAATTCAACTGGTATTATTCTCAAAAACCCGATATTTTCGAATCTGCTGTGTTGTGTACCAAATTTATGTTGAATCTTTTAATAAGTTTGATGAACTTTACCATACAACCGATTCTACTCTTTTTATTTAAAGTTGCCAAAATAAATCACTATGAGCATCATTCTTAGATGAAATGAATTTACTTTTGTGTTAAAACAAAACTGTGTCATGGAATATTATTCTCCAATGATCGGTATTGTTGTAATACAAATTTATCCTTGATTTATAAAATAAATATTGAAATTGTAACATTGCGAACAACATTCTTAATCTTACCGATGATCGGATAAAGTTCACATAGCATTTCTATATTCCTGTATATATTATGTAAGTTATTTACGTCTAATAAATGTTCATGTAATCATATATTTGTTGGTACATTTTCTATGATTTTCATTTGCTTTTATTTACGTCATGAACTAGACATAAGGCTGGTGGATAAAATATCTCAACTGTAAGTTGTATGATAATTAGATATGCATGAATTTTGTAAGTAGTATAGTGAACACTATGTCTACGACATTAGTGTACGAATTAGACGAGGAATTATGAAAAAGCTATGTACTTTAGATGTTGGTGCTTTTTTGTATTTCGGATTTTATGATTTTATCATATTATTCTTCATTCTAGTTCATCTTTCTTTATATTTTAACATTTGAAACTCTGCTTAACCATAATGTTCATCATTTGAATTAATAACAATAAAAATAAGCTTTACCTCTTAGTTCAAACATGTCAAATTTTAAATTCACTTGGTGTTGCTTTACTTGTATCTTCCCATTGTTATTTAGAACTGCAATTGATCACTCTCACGTTGGTATATGTGCATCCTGTGTGGATTGGCTCGATATAGCCTTAAGTCACAAGCTTTTTAGGGAAAGATGGATAGTGGAATGCAGGATGCGCATTTCGTTTCATTTGGGACTTGTCAGCTAAATGTACCTGCACCCCAAATTTGATGTTAACATCTAGCCACTTATCTATCTCTGCTTAAATTGTGAAATTTTAGTTTAAATAATTGGGTCAGAATGATTGTTTCATTTTTTAGCTTAAAAAGTATATATGTTGAAATTGTGAAAATTAAGATATTGGATAATAAAGCATAGAAGAGATTTAACCAAAATCCCCCCCCGTGTAGAGAAGCTGATATCTAAACATTCACAACTATTTAATTCATTTTTGCATAGAAATTGGTTTTCTAAACTGTCATCTAAACAAGTTATATGTTGTGAATAATTATCAAGAAATCATTGATGCTATGTGAATAAACAATGAAAATTAAATGATATAGGAAAGCTTGAGTAGATGTGAGAAATTTCTCTTTTTTTTAAAAACAAAACAACAAGTTAACAAAGCTTATTGATAATCTAATAAATGGATTATTCATTCTCTGTTATTAGAACATTGATTTTCAATCAATACGAGGTATAATACATAGAAATGAAAATTGACTGATTTTATCAGAACATATGAGTTTCAATAATAAAATACATAAATGTACTTGTGTATGAATATTCAAAATATTTCCAAACACGAAAACACTTAACATCTCTGATAATGTACCTTGTTATATTTCAGAATTTCAAATATTCTGGGTTTTTTTTCCAATTTTGTTTTATAACAAAATTTCATCAACATTCAATTTAAGTAAGTCAATTATCTAAAAACATGTTAATATTGTGTATTGACATTCATCGAATGATTGGGCGTTAGACAATGCGAAAAAATATATATATATCTGAAGAACATAGATATAGGACTGTGAAAATTCGGTAGTAATATATTGAATATAATTAAGGTAAAGGACTTAAATATATCACTTTTGTCCTGAAATGAGATTTGTTTATGTTAACAAATTTCATGACTTCTGTCTATTATAATTGATAATAATTCTTGGTAGGATTCAGTTTTGAATAGGATACACTGTGTTGAAAATAATTTACCATTTCATCTTAAGTAATTCAAAATTTAAGTTTTGACATGTGCATAAACATTACATTACATAACTAATATAATTATATTATATACCGTCTTAAGCTAACAATAATAACGAAAAATTATTATTATCAGTCAACCGAGCTTAGAAGATGAAATAATTACAATAACAAACAATGCAAAATGTTTAATGATGTCAGGACGTAGGATGTAATTAAAAAGATTTTATCGATTATTGGTGTAGTTAGCAAGGTTTGACTTGATAATTTCAAATAAGTTGAGCATTGGGTAAATTGTCATTATTAAAAATAATATATTTGTAATACCCACAATGAGTTGAAAAATTAAATTTTCTAAAGTTGCGTGACTTTTTCAGAGAATAAATAAACAAATTAACTTAACCCATTTATAAAGAGTACAAAGGTATAAAGCAAAAATATTTAGTACGATCAATAAAAAATCAGGTCTGACAAAGTCAGTGCCATGTCAGTGTGAAAATCGAGTCTAGGGTGCAGATAAATTCAGCTGACGAGTCCCGAATAAGACGAAACGGGAGTCCTGCATTCGATTGCTAGCCACTGTCCATTTTTGCTAATAATGCTTGTAAATTAAGGCTATATCGAGACAATATGCACAAGATGCACATATGCCAATAAGAGACTGATCAACTTCAGTCCTAAACATCATATGTAGCAGCGAATAGTAGTAGCTTATGATTGTTAATTGATTGAACATACAAATATGAACCAATGATACCAACATAGTAGTCTGAAGGTAACATATTAACAGAGGTCCCGTGTTCGGCCGTTGATGCGGTCATAAGTGTGTACTTCTAGAGTTCTGTACTTGAAATAAACAACTGTTAATTTCGATCTATTTAACAACTGCCATCTGGCCGAGATCGTTTGATTTAAGTTAGGCTTCTTTTTGTTTTATCTAAACTCCCATTATCTAGTCAGAATAGATGCTTTTTGAACTTTCTCAAATCATCGAATGACTAGTAATATTGCATATCTAAGAATAACATTCACAAAACTGATTATCCACCTTTTGCTTTTTTTCATATTTGTACCACAAATGTCACAATTGTCATCTCTTAACATACATACATACACACATAAGTACAAACATGTCTCACATAAATCACCTTGACTGGAATGACATGGCACTGACTTCGTCAGACCTGATTTTTTATTGATCGTACTGAATAATTTTTTGCTTTATACCTTTGTACTATTTATAAATGGGTTAAGTTAATTTGTTTACTTTTTCTCTGAAGAAGTCACGCAACTTTAGAAAATTTAATCTTTCAATTCATTGTTGATATTAGAAATATACTATGATTTAATCGATCGTTTACTTAGATAATAGTATTAAGATAAGTTATGTTTATCCGATATATTCCATAGAAAATGATAATAAACATTTGACATTAATTTTATTTAGGCTTTCATATGAAAACTCTCTAAGTAATATACACGGTCTCTTTCTTATGATCTTTTTATTTCTCACTTTGGTTCAACTAATATTAAGCTAGTACTTTTTATATATTATCTGTAATATCATTGAAAATTTTTATGATTACGGGGATGGTGATGTTATTATGATTTGTTTATTATAATTTTTAATAATTGTTTTTCTACATGCTGACATTGGTATTAGTTTACTTATCTTCCTTTTGGTTGATATGATTAACATTTATTATGTATATTTTGATTATTTTAATGGTAAACAGTTGTTTAAATAGAAATATTATTGCAATAATATAAGAATCGGAATTTGAGATAGTAGGCAGTTAGTCAGTTCATTTGTTGGTTAGTAAATAAAGTAATAAATTAACCAACTACAACGAATGTATACACTAACAAGATAGACAGATATAATACAATGTGTGTACACATGATAAAGAGATATATGAAAGTTAGTAATGTATATAAGTAGAGAACAATTCTAATGAAATTCTTTAAATAAAAAGCTTAAATAATAAATCCCACGCAGTAACTTACTTATGTGACAACTAATCTAAAACATGTCTGTAATTCTTCAGTATCGTATATATAAATGGATAACAGTAATATTATCACTATCGTTGCTAGTAATAATAATAATAATAATAACAATAATAATAAAAGGATTAGAAATAAACGAATAGGTATAATGAAAATAGTAAGAAAAATAATTTGCCCTAAATGTCTCAGAATTTCTATATACATATATTAAAAAATGTCTAAATATATATATTAGTGTTACATGGATATATGGATAGACTATTCAGTCCCAAATACATGTCTACTTATCGTTTTACAAAAGACGAAAAATATCCTTCCTGACAAACATACATATACATAATTAAACACTATTAGATTATAACAAAACTATTTTCATTTGACTATCTAATTAAGTTATCTCTTGAGTCTATATCATTATTATTTTTACCTGAAAATTAATTCTTTCTTTTTTAAAAAAAAAACGAAATCTAAACATCATCAACATTATCGGTTACAACATCAATATCACCGTGATCATACACATTCTAACATGTCGCATGAAACACTCTTTATGTCAACTAATTTTTTCTAAACAATAATGAAAAGAAGCTTAATGAAATCATCTTATATTTTCCATTGAAAAAGCAAAGAATTGGCAATTGAAACATTCAATTTATATATGTCTTTTAAAAAAATGACAATTAAAATGAAATTATAATGTATGATTACAGATTGTGAATTTAATGGTTATATTAGCCTAGAATTGGTAATAATAATAATAATAATATCTATCGTATTTCATTTGTTTTAACGAATAGTAAAAATGAATAACATCCGGCTCTATTAACATTAATAATCACATAGTAATTCAGTGAAAACAATTAAGGTTTTGTGTGGAGATTTTTAATCAATCAAAGTAAGTTGATCATTTTTAATCATATAACTGTCAACTTAAATTTATTATTATTTTGATTATGATGCGGTGCTATTTTAGGTTAACATAAGTGAAATGATTTTTGTAATACTTTATATTGCATAGGAGTAACATTTAGTATATTCATAATTACAATGATATAATGATCACTGTACACTTTGAATATATATTTACTTGTTCAATCATTTTATTATCAATGAATGGAAGTCGTTTTTATATCAGTATGATTAAGTGTTTGATCTTTCCAAGATAAAAAAATTCTACACAGTTATGCATAATAATAAACAAGCTTAATGTTTGTCCTTATGTTTTGATTGGATATTGTTTTCAGCTAAAATCATCAAATTCCCAGTGTTTTTACTATGTAATACTTCTGTTGTAAAGTGAACGACGTGTACTTAGAAACAAAAGTATAATTTTCTTCTGTTGGATTAATTGAATAATTCAAATTTCAAATCAGCTTTCATTCGGTTTTTACTCAAGAAAATGTCTATTCAAATAATTTTGAATTCTAGCAGAAAAAAAAATTGAAATTTAATTCTCGTTTTAGAATTGTTTACTGAATAACCTCAGGGAGTGTATATTTTTATGACAAATGTAGCGTTAATTATTGATCAAACCTAAGTAACGTATTTTCCCATCTTTATCATAAAAAAAAACATACTTATTAACCATCTATCTTAGCATACTTATGTAAACAGTTCGATGATGTTTACGTATATTCAAGTATAAAAAAATATTTTGTGCTTTTTATAATGGTCATTAGTAAAATTAAAGAGCTAATTTCATGATTTAACAACTTCTCTTTATCCATGAATACACTGATAATTTGAAAACATTTTAGGGGTTTAAAATAACTAACATGAAACTTTGAACCCTGATTATGTGTTGATTATCACGTACTTGTAGAATACATTTTGTATTTTGAGGGGAATGCAATTGTTATGAGATTTGAACGTTTATTTCTTAGTGCCGTATCAAGAGACGTTATTACTGAGGTATTATGACTGGGATACCGAGTCAGCTAGATTAGTAAGTAAACTTCAGTGCAGTTTGTAATATCCTAGATACAGTGAAAATGGGATTACATGACTACGGTTACAGTCACATGATAGATCAGTCCAGCCAAGTATCATTAGTTAAAGACCTCATATCCTTGCTCAAATCCTACGTGAGAGATTTCACCCTGGACAAATGTTTGTCATAAATATTTTAGACAATCAGATACATATTCAGCTGTTCTTATCTACGATGATGAAATCCAATTTGTGTTTTTATTCCGAA